AGATTTTTTTTTTTAAGCTATTACAGGAACAGAACATGATTTACTATTAGATTTTTTTCCTCTTGAAAATTGTACCGTCAGGAAGGAAGGAACAAGCAGAACATTTGTTTTTTAGCTTTAAAATAAGGCTGTCACTCATTTTTTGGGTGATTTATGTGACTTTTTTGGGATCAGGATGCAATCTCTAAATCTTATTAATTATCAGTGTCTTTCCCTATTTGAAGAACATAAGTTATGTGATAACAGTGCTTAAACTTCATAAAGACAAAAGTTGGCAGTACAATCTAGATCAGATACCACCTTCTCTCATAAGGCAAACATACAGATATTTTCCATGACCTTTAAATTGAATTTTTGAATGGATTTCAGCTGCCATTCTGTCTTAGAAGATGATATATTAGAGTGCATGATAATGGGGTGGTAGAAATACTTCCAAATAAGCGTAACTAAAACTCCAAACTTGATCCAGATAAATGCATATTTAAAACAGAACACAGTTCAAATACGTAACCTGCCTTGAGTAAGTATGTAGTGGAAAAACTTTCCTCTAATAAATAACTTAAAAGGGACACAATAGCTAAGTGTGTAGCCTGTACCTATATTGCCAACAACTCGTATCATAGTGGAGGGATACCAGAAAAGGTTTCTGCTTCAAACTGGAGTTACTCCTATTTGAAATCAGTCAAAATTTTTGTGACACAGACTTTGAGTGAAAAACCACTGGTCTGAATGTACGATTAATTGAAAGTCTGTCCACAGATACTTGCATGTCCTTAGCTGATAGAAGTGATTGTCTTTTATTCTTTCTATCTCCAGCTATAAAAATAGCAAGATACAAAATATACAGTCTCTAATCCATATTCTTAAAGAGCTCTTCTGATTTCAGAAGTGGTATTTCAAGCTCATTTGAGAGAGTAGAGGCCTCATTAGGGACAATCTTAATAGATTTTGCAGTCACATTATAAACTGGTTTCTGGAATGTGAGACTAGTTTGTGTCCACCAGATTTCAACTTTGCTTTGGTGATATATAGAATAGCACTGAATCACATCTCCTTCTTAAAACGGCAAAATTCTTCCCTCCTTTTGTACAAATGCCTATAGTCATCCACAACGCTCCAACTATTTGCATGTCTGCTTGCTTTCTGAATTTTGTTTTTGAAACATCCAATGGCATGATGAACATAATTGTTCTGTTTATCAAGCAGATGCAGGATTCTTTACAGATAACCTCTGATACAGTATATAGGGAAATATAAAAATGAGGAATAAGGTGTGAGCTTGCTCTGTCTTCTTTGTTTTTCTATAACACCTAATAAACACAAGTTAGACAATGCTGGAAAACAAGGTCAGAATCTCTCCTGTTCTATAGACATTCCTGTAGTTAACAGTTAACCTATTGCCATGTTGAAAATTAACTTAATAGTAGGTTCCTCCAATTTTCTGTAGTAGGATTGGTAGTATTGATACCGTCAGGTAGGTTGTGGAAGCTCCTCCACGGGAGGTTTTCAAAAGGATGCTGGATAGCCATCTGTCTTGGATGGCTTAGACCCAACAAATGCTGCATCTTGGCAGAGGGTTAGACCAGATGACACTTGCGGTCCCTTCTAACTCTGTGATTCTATGGAAAAGGATACCTGGAAAAGGAGTGCCAGGGCCAGGCTGTGGGTGGCCTGTGTGTACTGGTCAATTACCAAGTTGCAGTCAGGAGACAAATAGTGGGGTTGGAGTTGAGCCAGAAGTCAGGGTCAGGCACCAAGTTGCAGATGGGAGACAAGTAGCACAGTCGGGTTTGAGCCAGGTCAGGATACTGGAGAGTCAGGATCAGGCACCAGGTTACAAACAGCAGGCAAGTAGCAGTCAGGGACAAACCAGGATCAAAAGCCAGAGTCTAGGGTCCACAACAAGGCAAGGTCTGGAGCGGAAGCAAGCAGGTGTTTTATGTGGTTGCTCACACAGCTCACCATGATGGCTTCCTGATTTATATACAAGCATGAGCCAATCAGTAGGCAGGGGGTGGAGGGGTCACCACTCAGGCACTGCTGGGCAGTACTTTCTGCAGTGTCTAGTCTCATATGGTCCCTCAGTGAAAACCCAGCCTATGCTTCCAATAGGGATGCGGAAGCATCAGCCCAGAACCTCCATGGTCCCAAATTACAATCCTGCAGATTCTTACAGGGAGTGAGGTGATAAAATTTGAAGCTGACCCAACTTGCCTAGGTTGGTCACAAGTAAGGTGACTAAGCAAATTCAGAGGGATCTAATGCAATTAGGTAGATAGGCAGCACAATGGCAAATGAAATTCACTGCTGAGAAATGTGACATAATATGTATTGGAAGGAATATTTTGAACTACTTAAACACATTGCTGGTTTCTAATGACTTGTCTTCACAATGATTTAGTGCATAGCAAGCCAGGGTGTGACTCTATAGCACACTGACTGGCTGTGTGGATCCTGTTACCGTGCACTAAAAGTTCTGTAGTGCACTTTGATGTACTGCATCACCCTATATAGGAGGGAGGGATAGCTCAGTGGTTTGAGCATTGGCCTGCTAAACCCAGGGTTGTGAGTTCAATCCTTGAGGGGGCCATTTGGGGATTTAGTTGGGGATTGGTCCTGCTTTGAGCATGGGGTTGGACTAGATGACCTCCTGAGGTCCCTTCCAACCCTGATATTCTATGATTCTATGATATCTCATATGATCTAGTAGAAGGGTTTTAGAGACATGGACAGTCTGAAAAGATTGGAAGTGTTTAGTTTGGTGAGGGGACATAAGGCATAAAAAATAATAAAGGGCAAAGTTGTAGTAAATCCTGTTTTCCTTTTTTAACCATAGAAGACAAAGGGAACATTCAATGAAGTTAAAAGGTAGCACATTTCAAACTGATAAAAGAAAATACTTTTACACAGCATCCCTCATCTGGAACTCATTGCCACACGATGTTAGAGCCCAAAAACTTAGTAGTATTTTTAAAATATTTAAACCTTTTATATGGGAAATGAGAACATCCACCATTACATTAGAGTGGATATAAGTCCACATGCTTCAGGACACACGGACTAATTGGGAATTAAAAATTTTCTCTGAAGAGGAACAGAGAGTCCCGTGGCACCTTTAAGACTAACAGATGTATTGGAGCATAAGCTTTCGTGGGTCAATGCATCCGACGAAGTGGGCATTCACCCACGAAAGCTTATGCTCCAATACATCTGTTAGTCTTAAAGGTGCCACAGGACTCTCTGTTGCTTTTTACAGATCCAGACTAACATGGCTACCCCTCTGATATCTCTGAAGAGGGTATTCCAAAGTTGACCACTAGGGGGCTCCTTGCACTTTACTTTGCACCATCTTGTGTGACCTATGTCAGAAGTATGGACTACCAGATGGATATACTGTTGTCATTTGATGTGCCACCTCCTGTGGTCCTAGCTCAGGGGTTCTCAAACTGGGGGGTCAGGACCCCTCAGGGGGTCACAAGGTTGTTATATGGGGGCTGTGAGCTGTCAGCCTCCACCCCAAACCCCACTTTGCATCCAGCATTTATAATGGTGTTAAATATATTTTAAAGTGTTTTTAATGTATATGGGGGGGGTCGCACTTGGAGGCTTGCTATGTGAAAGGGGTCTGTTAATCTATGAGGGAATGGCAACCATTTAAAGGTTACTCAGCTCAGAATTTTGAATATTACTTTTTTATTATGGTGACGCCTGGTAGCAACATCATAGATAGTTTACGTTCTAAAGTCGCCATCAGCTCTTGTTTTTTCCCCCCCTAAATGTAGATGGTCTATTAGTGTGAAATTTCATACTGTTCGTTTTTATGCTCTTTGGATTTTGTGTGCAGATCTTGTTTGGTCTCTCGTTTGATAAATTTTTTAATAGGAAGCCTTTGAAGTTGGGCTGTGGCTGAAATTTGTTGTCGGCAGTCTGAGCTTCATTGTTGACTTATCTGTTTTTTAAAATTGTATATCTACACAGAATTTGGCAAAAAGATGTATCCTCAGTAGATTGGGTACAATCAGGGCCGGTGCTTCCACTAGGCGACCCTAGGCAGTCGCCTAGGGCGGCAGGATTTGGGGGGCGGCATTTTGCCGCCCTCGGCGGAAATTCAGCAGCTGGGGGTCCTTCCGCTCCAGGTCTTCGGCGGAAATTCAGCGGCTGGGGGTCCTTCTGCTCCAGGTCTTCGGCGGAAATTCGGCGGTGGCTCCTTCACTCGCTCCAGGACCCGCCGCCGAAGTGCCCCGAAGATGCGGAGCGGAAGGAGCGCTGCCGCCTAGGGCGGCAAAAACCCTGGCGCCGCTCCTGGGTACAATGCTTTATTTTTGTTTTGGCGGGGTGGGAGGGGGTGGATGTCAAGGCACTTTTAGCCTTCATTCATCATAGCTGAAAGTTTATGCATCAGTGATTACCAATTAATAAAATCTTTTCTGTTGTAAAGATAAAATCTTCTCCATAAGCAGCTATGCTTTTCTGTCAGATTTTATATAGCACAGAAAGTTTTAGATGCAGCAGTGGCAAATGAGCATACGTGTGCAGCTTCTGCACATCTGTCATTTAATATCTGAGTGCTTAAAAATGTGTTTAGATATGAAAGGACTGATAAACCAGGGCTTTGGGACACAGTGAGAAACATTCCACCTAATATTTATAGTAGTAATTTACAAGATTTTGCAGGTTTTGTATCCTAAATATGTGACACAAATGGAAACATTTAACAAACTATTCTTTTTACTTGTAACAATGTGGTTTACAGGAACATTACAAACTGGTTGCTGCTTTTTATAAATCAGTAATATAAATGTATAATGCAGGAGGTCAGACACCATAATGGTCTCTACTGACCTTAAAATTCTATGAATCTATGAAATAGTAACGCTGTATTTTGTTTTTGATATCCTGCTTATGTGTAACTTGAAGCAGAGACATTAACTAAAACTTCATTCACACAGATTATTAAGAGAGACACTGGCAAATTTACAGTAACAAAAAATCTTTTACAGGTGCAAGTATTGGCATTATGATGAGAACCTGCTCACCTCCAGTGTTGTCATTGTCTTCCATAATGAAGGATGGTCCACACTCATGAGGACAGTTCACAGTGTAATAAAAAGGACACCAAGGAAATATTTGGCAGAAATTGTGATGATTGATGATTTCAGTAACAAAGGTAATACGTAGGCTATTAACACTGAATCTGTAGAAAAGAGTGTGGGGGGGGAGGGTATTAAAATAATTTTAAAAATTAGCTTCTTGGATTTATTATTATTATTTATTATTATTTATACAATATGGATTGTATTTAGCTGTGCATGAAAAACAAGATGGTATTTATACAGTCATTTTCATCTTTCAGTAAAACACAAGGTACATCTCAATGGATAGTAATGAAAAGAAAACACTGGTCTATATGCATACATTTCTGTTCTATGCATAGAATTTGTGGCAGGTTTTCCCCACAGTTTGGTTAGCACATTAGTATGGAGGTCTGGGTTAATTAGCACATTTTGTCATTAGGAATTTTAAAAGGATAGTCTGTTTAGAGATAAATTGAAACAGCGCCCAGCATTATGCCCTATCAGTAACTGTCAAACCAGTGAGCATGAACAAAGTCAAACCAGTGAGCAAAGTACTTATCTAACTTCGTATTTTCACTGCTTCTCTTCTTTTAATTGAGGAGTTAGTGCTAAATTTGACGTAAGAAGTGTCTTTCATCTTACCCTCACAGGGGAATCCTATCTTAATTCTGACTATAGTTGAAATTTGACTAAAACTATTTGGTAAACCATATTAATTTTTTCACTGTCTTAATGTTTTTTGGAGCCACCCATGATTCTTTGAAACATAGTACTGCGTTTATTATTGCTTATATTTCATTGAAAGAAAAACTATTTTAGCCACACATTTTTACATGAAATATTTTCTTTATTTCATGGTGGCATATGGGCTCCAGCTGCATGTCATCAAAGCTTCCAGACGTTTGTAGTCTTTCCTGCCCACACTCGTCATCCCTGTTCTTCCTTTCCTCAGATGTGAACCAAGATGGGAATGTCTAATGCCATGTGTACATATGTATGATTTTAAATATATAATATGCATTATAAAACACACACTCTCTCGCTCTCTCTTACTGTTTTCCTAATATTGAAATCTTCAGGTCTAATGCTCATTGGCAATGTAAAGTGAAGCTGATTTGAGAAGAGAATAGCAAGAGGTGGCATGTTAATGTACATGTAAATAAGATAATGAATGATATAGAGAGGGTCAGTCCGATGTCTGTTTTAAATTTAAAACTGATCAAAGAAAATACTTCGTTTTATACTAGGTATAATTAATCTGAAAGACTCACTGCCACAAGATGTTGTTGAGACAGAATTCCTAGTAAGAGTCAGAAAAAGATTAGACATTTGTGTGAATAAAAAATATTTGCTTCTACAGCAAGGATAATCTTTGGTTATGGCACTGGACTTGGATTCAGGAGTACCAGGTTCAGTTACGGGTTCTACCTTTTCCGTTCTGATTTCAGGCGAATTGTTAATCTCTTTGTGCCTCAATTCCTCATCTGAAAATGGACATAACAATACTTCCCTACCTCACAGGGTTATTATGCAGCTAAATCCAGAAATACTGGGGTGTGGGGGACAGCTTTCAGATGCTACAGTGATGAGGGGCAAAATAAGTACTCAGACAGAAAAATTAGATAAAATAAACATTTATAAGGTGCATAAACCTGAGATTAGAAAGAAATTTCCTCTATAGGCAAGTTGTTGTATACATGATTATTATGAGATCTTTGCATGTTCCTCTGAAGCATCTGGTACTGATAGCTGAGAGAGTCAAGATTACCTTTGGTTTGCTTTTAGTATGGCAGTTCCTATGCAGAGCTAGTATTGCCAAATCTTGACGCAACAGCATTTCTATGCTGTCTGTCCCTTGGATTGGTATATAGCAAGGACAAGGCATGGCTGATCATAGGTGAGTCTGATCTGCTCCTGGAGTCTGGGATATGCTGCCCCATACACTCCTTTTTCCCTTTGAATAGTTGAATTTGGAGATATGGAGGGCATCTGGCTGTGTGGGGATCCAGAACTGAAGTGGTTCTCCTTTTGTATTGTTAAACAGTCTGGCACACAGTATACTTGTCTTCTGCCTGTCCCCATGTCACACGGGTATATTGGTAAAGAATGAATCCTAGAAATTAATTTTAAAGCTGAAATTATTGTATTAAAAGCAGTTTAGACTTTTTGCATGTAAAGCATTATTAAAATGATAAATAAACATTAATGTTCACAACATCCCTCTGAGGTAGGAAAATATTAGGACCGGAATAGTACTGGACCCAGGACTGACCCCCTGTGGGACTCCACTAGATATGCCTTCCCAATTTAACAGCGAATAATTGATAACTATTGTTGGAGTATAGCCTTTCAACCAGTTGTGCATCCACTTTTATAGTAATTTCATCTGGACCATATTTCCCTAGCTTGCTTACAAGAATGTCATGTAGACCTGTGTCAGAAGCCTTACTAAAATCAGGATGTTTCACAAGTAGTGTTTCTCTGCATCCATTAGACCAGTAGTAGCGCTGTCAAAGAATGGTCCACTATATTCCTATTGACTCTTAATGGAATCACACCATCTGAGAAGCTGGTTTAGACTTTGTATTATATGTAAATATTTCTGTAAGGGATATGTGTTTTTTTAATAATTTAGTCAGCAGCCATATACTAGACTTTTTAGCTGGCATCACAGCTATGTTCCTGTGCAATTCAAGGACTTGCTGACTCAGTTAAATAAAAACTAACATCACTGTAAAATTAGATTAGCCTATTTAAATACCAACAAACTTTTACTAATCTGAATTCATAGTACTGTTCATCTTTGTAAATATGATTGACTATGCACTTTTTATAGGTGACTTTCATGGACTGTCTGGCATAATAGACATAGTACTACAACAGGGGTCGGCAACCTGTGGCACGCATGCCAAAGACGCCATGCGAGCCGATTTTTACTGGCACGCTGGCTGGCGTCCTGGCCGCCACCCCCACTCACCCTGCTGCCGGCCTGGGTGAATGGAACCCCAGGACGGCAGCGGGATGAGCGGGTTCGGTGGCCAGGACCCCGGCTGGCAGGAGCCGGCGGATGGAACCCCAGACTGGCGGCGGGCTGAGCCGCTCAGCCCGTCGCCGGTCTGGGGTTCTGTCCGCCGATGTAGTGTATTAAATTTCTCCCCATAGGAATGCGCTACTTGTGGAGCACCAGGACTGGCAGCCGTAATTAGTACACCATAGGTAGCACATTCCTACGGGGAGAAATTATTTAATACACCACACCCGGGTAGGGAAGGCTGTGCCTCCCCAAACAGCCTGCCCCCTATCCGCTCCCTCCCACTTCCTGCCCCCTGACTGCCCCCCTCATAACTCCTGACCCATCCAATCCCCCCTGCTCCTTGTCCCCTGACCGCCCCCTCCCGGGACCCCCTCACCCCTATCCGCCCCCCCGAGACCCCACCTCCCCATCCAAGCCCCCCTGCTCCCTGTCCCCTGACTGCCCCGACCCCTATCCACCACCCCTGCCAGGCCCCCCGGGACTCCCATGCCTATCCAACCACCCCTGTTCCCTGTCCCCTTACCATGCCGCTCAGAGCATCAGGACTGGCAGCCCTAAGTAGTACACCATAAGTAGCACATTCCTGTGAGGAGCAATTTAATGCACTACAACCTGCCCCGCTCAGCGCGCTGATGGTCTGGAGTTCTCAAAATATGTTGTCGCACCCCTTATCAAAAATTACCCTACAATTCGCTTAAAAACTTGATTTGTATATTACAGTAATCGTTAAAAAATGTATAATGTTGTTAAATACATAGATTTGATTAAATAAAGTACACCTCTACCTCGATATAATGCTGTCCTCGGGAGCCAAAAAATCTTACCGCGTTATAGGTGAAACCGTGTTATATTGAACTTGCTTTGATCCACTGGAGTGCGCAGCCCCACCCCCCCCGGAGCGCTGCTTTACCGTGTTATATCCGAATTCGTGTTATATCGGGTCGCATTATATCAAGGTAGCGGTGTAGTTGTACTTATGTGCCTGTGCTTAATTTGTGTTTTTGATGATTTACCTTCTAAACAAATCTCGCATGTCTGCACCCCCAGAAAGGGCATCTCGCACCCCAGGTTAAGAACCACTGCACTAAACTGATAAGATCTGCATTTTAATTTAATTTTAAATGAAGCTTCTTAAACATTTTAAAAACCTTGTTTACTTTACATACAACAATAGTTTAGTTATATAATATAGACTTATAGAGAGAGACCTAAAAACATATTACTGGCACATGAAACCTTAAATTAGAGTGAATAAATGAAGACTTGGCACACTACTTCTGAAAGGTTGCCAATCCCTGTACTACAAGATATAATAGTATATGTCAGGGGTGGCCAAACTCTGGTTCACAGGCTCGCAGAGCCCCCCATTCCCCCAATATGCCAGGCTGGGTGAGGGGGGGAGCTTGAGACCTCTGCCTTGCAGCAGGGTGGGGTAGGGGCTTCTACCCAGCGGAGAGAGGGGTCTTAGGGCTTCAGTCCTGCGGGGCATGCCTACTGGGGCTCAGGGTTTCAGCAGGAACAGGGCTGAAGCCCCAAGTCCTGTAAAGTGCTTCCCGCAGGGCTGAAGCCCCAAGCCCCAGCAGGTGTGCCCCAGCTCTCAAACTTCTGAAGATTGTCATATGTGGCTTGGAGGGTCAGAAAGTTTGGCCACCCCGGTATATGTGTATCTAAGATTATAATGAAAAATGTGAATTTTCTTATCTGAGAAACAGCATGACTATGTAATTAGCATTGTCATATAAAATATATAGACTCTTAATTATAGTATCTTATTCTTACATATATAATATGTATTCTAGTGGATAGTGTGCTGGATTGGAACTCAGAAGACCTGTGTTCTATTCCTATCTCTGCCACTGGTCTGCTGGGTGATCTTGAACAAGTCACTTCATCTCTCTGTGCCTCATTTTCCCTATCTGTAAAAAGGAAGTGGCAATATTATTTCTTTTGTGAAGCCCTTTGAGGTTTACAGATGAAAAGCATTATATAGAACTCGGTGGTATTATATTTCCTAACTCTCTTCAGTGTTTTTAAGCATACAACTTTAACATAGTGAGT